GCGGTGCAGCAGCTGCGTGAGGTTTGTTTTGCGGGCCGTCGCGTTGAGGATGCTACCAATAGAGCCTGTTTGTTGCGGAGTAGGACAAGCTCATGGCGCGGTTGCAGAGGTTACGTGCCTAATTAATCTCAACCCGAAAATGCTACATGAACCCTCCTCAACTCTACAATCCAGGACGCCAAACATTCAAAAGCGAGACCCCGAAAAACGCGGAAGCTTGATCCCTAATTGGGTAGTTCTCTAAAGTAGGGTCCCTAGAATCCTATTATATAGGGTGTCGTATCATTTCTGGGATTTGAAAGAGGACCCTCATTCAGAGAACTACCCAAATTCCATCCTTTCATTTTGGGGGATTAGGGAGGCCAAGTTCGACACTCCGCAGGAGCACCTGAGGTGCGTCCAAGACGCTGCCGTCTTCACCGGGCCCCCTTCCCCAATGCTCCTCGGAGATTTGCTTTGCAAGGGTTTGGTTTAAGCCGAGTTTTCAATTTTTGATTCATGATCGTTAAGCTCTTAACTTAAACTTGAGGTGGACCCAGAAAGTCTAATTTCCTGTTTTTAAAAGGTTTTGCATATGTCTTCTGTTTGCACAATAGTCACAGGTTGCCGACTGAGATATTTTTGAATTAGCGGGCCTAGCGTCGGGGTGTTCGCTATCTCAGGGCTTACACTTTCGGGATGAGGATAAGCCAAAATGAGAAGGATGTAGGCAGCGTCTACGCAGGTTAGCGTCAGGGGTCGGGGTTTAGGGCTAGACTTGAGTCCAATAACAAGGGCTCGGGGAGGGGTTAGGTTCAGAGCGTAAGCCCCTAAACCCGAAGCCCCCACACTCAATTTCAAGGTTCCTGAACCCCTGTTCGACCGTAAACCGTAAACGCTTAAGCCTTGAACTTGGAAAGCCCTGGACCTCAAGACCCGAAATCCCTTGAGGTTCGGCGACGAGCCCTACCGCCTCGTAAGGGAAGCCGCGGACGGAGCCTTGGAGGTGCAGCGAATTCCCTTCCGTCTGTTTAGGGTTTAGGGTTCAGGCTTTAGGGTTCAGGGCTAGGGGTTTAGAGTTTAGGGTCTAGGCGTGAAGGTTTACAGGGTTGAGGGTGGTTCTTCCGAAACAGCTCTCGTTGTTCTTATCGTACAGTAGAAGCCAGAAAGTTGGAATATCAGTATCCCGATGCCTTTAAGGTAAAGCGTAAGGGAATTATCCCCATTATTCATGTTGCCACTTTCTCGGGTTCAGCCTATACCCAACGGGCATTAATAATACTTGTGTGCTGTGGGTTCAGAGCAGGGCAATGCGTGTGTCATAGGTTTGTGTTTCCTGCTGTGTTTAGGACCATGCTCACGCACGAAATCTACAAGTTCACGGTTCGGGTTCGGAAAACTTGCAAGTGTTCGGGTCTAAGGGTTTTGGAAGGATATATGCACACGTTCAAGAGCATTCCTTCAGGAATTCCTATCTCGGCAACGAGCCCTAAACCCTGAGCCTTAACCCTAACAGAAGGGTTTAGGGGTTATGGTTTAGGCTTAACAGGCAAATCCCTAATGAAACCTTAAACCTAAACCCTAAACCCTAAACCCTAAACTCAAACCTTAAAAAGTGGCCCTTGAAAGGCTCTCGCCGGCAACGAGTTTTACCACGAGGAGCCGCTTGGCTATCCTTTTGTTTTCTCTATTTCTTAACTACCTCAAGAACCCAAAACCTACTTTTTTGTAGGGTCCCTAAAAATCCTATATTCGGGTTTATAATAAGAACCTACAAAAAACTGGGTTTTGGGTTCTTATTACTTAAGGTAGTGACCAGAAATATACATTGGGGTTTAGCGTTTGAGAAAGCGGTGAGAATAGATATTTGGGGGTTTCTGGGAACTACGCTTTACATGTACATTGCAGCTCACTCCAAAAACCCTAAAAATTAAACCTTAACAAGAGGCTCCAACCCAAAACCGATGCGTTTTCTGGGTTTTGCAGGTCGGCTCTCTTTGGTGTCACAGTGATTCTGTGAGGGTTTGGGAGCTGTAGCCTTTTTGTATCGCTCTTATCGACCACACATCGCCGTGAGTGGGAGTCGGAGACTTGCATATCTGAGCCTTCAATCCCTAAACCCCCTGAGCCCTAAAAGTTGCAAGATCTACACCCAAAATCCAAACCTAAGAAACGAATTCCAACACCCTTAGCCCCGAACGCGTAAATAGCACCAACACAGAACATAGAAGCTTAAATCTGAATGATTAGTAGTACTATACCGTGCCGTAGGGTTCCTCAGTAGTTACAACATAATTTACCCCGAAACCTTGTTCAGGCCCATATATTACAACCCTAAACCCAAACCCTACCTCCGCGCTTTTAAGCAACCGAGGTACAGGCTGCTGTCACAGCGCATCGTAGGCTTCGGAAACTACGAGCCACCAGAGGAGGGGTTCAGGGTTTAGGGATCCCAGCAGTCAGGGCTTCCTTACTGAGTTTAGGGTTTAGAGTTTAGGACGGGTTTAGGATTAGGAAAACATTGGATATGTTCATAAGAGTTCCAAAGGTGTAGGGCCGAAGTACACCTGAGTACTTTTACTTCAATGGTCTCCTGAAGGACGTAGTATGAGGCTATAGATCAACGGGGGTACCGCGTATCTATCACAACAAGAGCACTTTGGAATGTGTGGAGCTCGTCTTGGAGTTTAGGTGGGTGTTTTTGCAGGGTCTAGGTTCAGTGGAAAGAGAAAACAGTGGCAACTTGTGCTTGGTCGTGGAAGCAGGAATCGAGAGTGCCTGGAATCGGTGCTGGGAGTGTTGCTCGGCTCTTTCGTTTGGAGGACACTAAGCTCCCCGATGGTTCCGTGAACGTTGCCAAGGACAGCCCAGTGAGTGGTTCCAATCCCCAAACTCTGAACACTGAAACCCAAACCTTAAATCCGAAACCCAAAGCTATAAACTCTATGATTTGGGGTTATAGGCTATAACCTAAATCCCTCGCCTGGCGTGTCCGAGTGTGAGCGCCGACACCCCCAAAATCTTTTACCCCTTAAACCCGCCTGGGCCTGCCAGAACCCCTCAAGCGCCCCAAAGCCTTCAGGAATCCTACCAGAGAACCCCAGCCCAGGGTATTTTCGATCTATGTGGGTAAGTTTAAGCGGTGCCTGATTCAGGGCTTCGTTGAGATCTTTCCGGGCTAGGATCGTAAGGGTCTAGGATTTGACCGAAGCCTGCAGCAAAAGGCTTGGAGGTGTCTTGCGGATTGGGTTTAGGGTTCAGGGTTTAGGGTTTAGGGTTCCGGGCGAGAGAAGCCTGCTGCAAAAAGGGTTTAGGGTTTAGGGTTTAGGGTTGTAGTTTGGGGAGGCATCGACTACCTCGACATCGATCGAGGTCGCTTCGTAGCTCAGTCTTAGATGTGTCCTTCCCAAGGCTACCGCAGTGTCATGAAGATCAGCTTTAGGGTAGGAAGGGGCTCGAGCCGTCCCGGTGGACGGCCTCGCAAACCGAAGGTTTTGTTCTAGTTGAGCGCCGGTATTGGTTGAACGCGCCATCCGTGTACGAACCTCCCCATACATTGAAGGTCCCTTTCTAAACGAAGGATTTCTCCAACAACCCGTAAACTGAAAACCCCTGTAAAACTGCTTCAAGCTCTAAGACTGCAGCAGGTTTTTTGTCAGTCAGTTTGAAGCAGCCTTTGGAGCAATCCTCCTTTGTGCAGGATGTCACGTTCGGTGACGTCCTGGGAGGTGCTGTTGGCGGTATTTTCACTGGTGCCGACGCCTTAGGTTTTTCTTAAGGTCACATATAGGGGATCTTCGGGTCGAGGGTTTAGGTTTTCGGCTCCCAGAAGGGAAATTAAATAAGGCCAGCCCTAAGACTCTCGTAAGACTTTAATAGGTACCTTATTTTTTAGAGGTCCCATGAAGGCCATCTCAGGCCACTCAGACATCCTGGCTCTCAATCTCTGATATCTAAGAATGTAGGGTGCCTTCTGATGTGTCTCTACACCGAGGCCGGCGCGATCTACAGTGGCGTCAAAGGCAGTTAGAGCTGGGTTTCACTATGGGTCTTACTCCGAAGCCCCCTTGTGAACTCCGCGTGACTCGTCCGAGATGTGAGTGCCCTCTTCTTATAGGGTTTAGGGCTTAAGGGCTCAAGGGTTTTAGGAGTCGATTTAACACGCCAAATGCTAGCTAGTGGCAGAAATCCACAGGCTCCTCACTCCTTTGAGCTTTTGAAAGCTTCGACAAGACAAAGCTCCAAAGCCAACGGGCTCAGGCAGCAGGGGGTACAGAAGATAGAATTGAGGAAGCCTGGGAATTGAACCGGGTGGCGCCAGGCCTTTTCGAAACCCACTCGCGCCGGGTCTCGGGCATCGGCGTCGAAGGCATCTTGGGTGGTGTGGGGGAATCCCCGAAAGCTTAAAGCCTGGAGGGCATCTTTGATTCAGGTTTGCTTCCCAGGCAACAAAGGGGCTCTGTAAGGGCTTGGGTGAAAAAGGGGGAGGGTCGAGGTTCCAAAATTTTTCGATGTTGAGAAGCTCTCGAGCAAGGTAAGCATCCCTAAGAACAGACCGGATGAACTTGTCCCTCCACAGAACTAGGTTCCTGAGTAGTACCCTTTTGCCCTTTTCATTTTGGGCAGGTCCTTGTTAAAACCGAAGACGAGGAGAAAGGGTACCCTTATTATTAATAGAATCAACTCTACGAGGCGAGCCTAGTATCTTTTAAATCGAAGCTTCAATAAGTCCACCATATTTTCCCTCAGGGTTCCTGGTTATACTTGTGCACTTGTACTAAAATATATCCCGAAGCCCAGTTCTAATAATGATGGCCCCTCCACTACCGGTTGAAACACTTGAGTATTAGACAGACACCCAAGATATGCCAGATATGCTTTTACTTCAGTTGACATCCAAGACACCATAAGCTGCCCTGAACGCTAAACTTTTCGGTTGACTGAAGCTTTAACCAGCAACCCTAAGCTCTAGACCTCACTTAAAAACCCGAAGCTTTGCTTCACTGGACATCACTTGAGGTATGGGGATCGCAGAGGCCTCGGCCGAGCAGGAGGAATGCGAGGACTTTGTTTTGCTGCAGAATCATAGGGCTTGGGGTTTTGAGCTCTTTGTTTGGGGCGGAGGGCGGGCGTAGGGTTTTGGTGTGTCCTTCTGGTTTTGGTGTAGAGGTTGTATGGTGGCCTTTTGGTGTGTTAAGATTCCCCGCCCTGGAAGGGCTCCTCACTATACCCGGAGAGCCCAGTTGAGGGCTGAATGAAACAAGGTACACTACCTCAGATTTAAGAGGGCTTCGCTGCTTGCTCAGGAAGCTATTCGGCTTGAAGTTACGAGCATTGATTGCTGCCTGTAGATGCCCGAGCAGAAGCCTTCCACCATCTTCAACCCGACATACACAAACCCGTAGGCCCGCAACCTTTGCCCCCCGCCGCCAAGTTCTCCCGTGCTTCCGTTGCCTGGCACCTGACAAACATGCCGTGGCTCGATGTTTATGCACTGGACAAACATCTCTGTCGGATTAAGACAGAGCCCGGCTGGACAGGTCGGGAGCTGAAAGAAGCGATCGAGGAAGAAACTGGCTGGGACTACCTGGTGTGCACACAGCAGCTGGCCGTGGGTACCACGCTGATAACTCACGATCTCCAGCTGGACTCAGTGCTGACAGGCGACGCAGAGGCTTCGATGACGCGGCTACCGGAGCCTGCCAACATACAGGCCAAAGGGTCTAAGTACCCATATAGTAGGTATTTTGGGCCCCAAGGTATCTACCATATTAGTACTTAGACCCTTTGGGCAGGCTTTCACTGGAGACAGAAAAGCACTTGGGCTGGCGATGCGGTCGTTGGAGATCTTCCCCATCGTGGCGATGGAGCTGCCACCGCACGCGGTGCTCTTCGATGCCTCGACTTGGCAGCAGTGGGATGGAATGGAGGCTGCGAGCAAAGAAGCCTACCGGGCCTATCGATCCGAAGAAGGCGAAGCTCCAGAGGTCTTGAAGCACCAGAAGTTCACGGCCGAGATGCTGTCGAGTCCTTTATGGTTTCCATGGGAATCCCTCGTAGGGATTCCACACTCCGACGTGGCCGCTATCCTCGCTCTACAGGCTTCAGCCTTCCTGATAAGAGATGGCCTCTGCTGGCTGGCTGCCGTGCTCCTACTGCAAAACGGCGAGCTACTGGCCACAACCGTCTATGTGTACAATTCCTTCGGACCGATCCAGGACGGAAGCATGGAGACTTCGGCCAGTTTGCGAGCAAAGTCTTGGGAGGAGCTCCGACGTTTGGAGCCCGGATTTGCGGAGGCCATGGCGCGGCGGGCGTCTTCGCAGTGGGGGAGACCGGAGGAGGCCTTGGCGGCGAAGCCGAGACCCATCATCGGACCAAGGCGGATTGCCGGCCGTCAGATTCCGGGCGGCTGGACTTGTGCTAGCTTCCTGCAAAACTGGAGGGCCGAGATGGGGGAGAAGGAATCGTTCAATCCGGAAGACGTGCAGGGACTCCCGGCATGGCCTGCGATGCTCTTCGCCTCCCCCCTCCGGCCAGTACCGCGTGAATTGCTCAAGGCCTGTGACGAAGCGGCGGAACACTTAGCAAAGTGGCACGAGTGTGTCCACGAGGTCAACCAAGTGTGTGGGGATCCAGCCTGGGCATTCGGCAAAGGCAAGGGCAAGGGCAAGGGTACACCATCGTGTCAGCAGTCGTTTGCCAACGCTTTAATGGAAATCCGCAGCCGACTCTCAGACAAATACAGCATGATGTGATATGGCATATGGGGGTCGGAGTTGGCCGGAGTACTGAGATCAGTACTACTATAGTAGATCCCAGAACCCTATCCTATTTACGAAGGCCTCAAAATAAGGGAATCACTTTTAGTGCCCTTCTAGTGGAGCTACTGGGGTTCCCCTTCAAAATCACTCAGGACTCTCCCACCGCCCGGAGTTTCAGAGCGTCTTGGCGAGGCTGGAAGATTTCGCTTCGCCAGGGAATACATCCTACGATCTTGAGTCCTTGGGCTATGCCGCAGTGCAGGACAGGGTTGCTATAAGGACATACTGGTTAGCAATTACAAGGGTTCTAGACAGAAGGTTTTAGGATTTTGAGTCGGAGGACTACGTGGTGGATTCAGTCTTCGGGCCAAGCCACGAGATCATGTACGACGCTTGGGTTGCCGAGCGAGCCAAACAAGCCTACACCACCGGGGCGTGATGCGGCGAGCAAAGTCGAGCCTAACCTGACCTCAAAAAACAGAAGACATGTCTCCATGATGGGTGGTCGAGCCTTGCTTCTCCGTCTTGTTTACTAAGACCCACTTTTTCCCGATGCTTGATCGCGGTTTGATTCAGATCATGGCTGCTGTCATAGCTCGCCTTGGATTCGTGTTGTGCGATTTTAAACCTTAACCCACAAATCCTTAACCCGTTTGCTTCTTGTGCTTCGAGCCCTAGCTACAATATCTGCTACTGTGTCATGCCAACTGTGCACCGTGAGCTTCATAGAGCAACCAACCAATCAAAGCACACATATACATATATACACATACACACATGTATACATACATACGTACATACGTACATACATACATACATACATACATACATACATCTCACTACAATACACTACAATACAAGACAAGACAATACAATACAATACAATACATGCATACATACATACATAAATACGTACATCCATACATACATGCATATGCTGTCATATACACACATATACACACAGCAACACACATTTACATATACATGCATATACATACATACATACATACATACTTACATACATACATACATACATACATACATACCTGCATCTCACTACAATACACTACCCTACAAGACAAGACAAGACAATACAATACATGCATGCATACATACATAAATACGTACATCCATACATACATGCATTTGCTGTCATATACACACATATACACACAGCAACACACATATACATATACATGCATATACATACATACATACATACATACATACATACATACATAGATAGATACATACATATTTATAGATTCTATATGTGTTTACAGACATAGACACTTTTTTCAGGGCCTTACCGTCACGACCAGAACTATCTTCCCCAAGGTTCCTTCATATGGTTATAGTATAATGTACCCCCAAGATCCTTTTCGCATAACCAATGCCCGTATATTAGTCCCCAAAGTACCCTTTTGGTAACCCTTAAGCATTTAGGCCCCTTTAGATAGAACCGCAACCCCCGAAACCTTCAACCCTAAGCCCCAAATCCGAAACCCCCAAACCTCTAGAGGTGTTGTATGACGCCTCGTCGAAACCCAGACCTTCGAGAGGATCCAGAAAGCAGATTTTTGAGCAGGTACCCATCAAGTAGCGTTTACTAGTTAGGGTCCCAACTTCGGGGGATCTAGGTTTTAGATCCTTCCCGGGGTCTGGGAAAGGTGCTAAATACAACCGCGAACCGAAGCCAGGAGGTCTACGAGGAGGAGGTTGTAGAAGCCGACGAGGATGAGCATCCTCGGCCTTCGTTTTTGTCGGTGGTTTTTGGGGGTCTGGTTCGGGCTTTGCAGGTTGAGGGTTTAGGCTTTTGGGGCTTTGGGGTTTAGGGTGTATGGTTTGGGGGTGTAGGAATTTGGGCTTCGGGTTTTGTGGTTTCGGGGGAGGTCTCCAAGTCAACGCACCAAAGAGGGGATGGTTGCATGCCAGGGTCGCTGCAGGCCAGACGCAACAGGGTTTAGGTTGCTTTCGTGGCCTTTACGAGTATGTAGAATAGGTCCCACGACAAGTGCCGACCATCGGTTTTGGGTCTACTGAGTCCTTGCATAGGGCATTGGGTTATGCAGGGGATGCAACTACCACTGCCACTTATCCGCACTGCTAGATTAGCCAGGGACTGCGGGGAATCTCTGAGTCTCAAGGATGCCTAGCTCAGGAGAAGCTTGGGTTCAACCTCACACTCTACGGGTCGGGATAATTACCAATGATATCACATGATGGTACTGAAAAGACTTCTGGCATACTATACACTACACACAAAATCCTCTGCCAATCATTAAGGCCCATATTTTGTTTCAAAAGCCATACACACACAAGACTCAACACCAAGGCATCCGTCCAACGGAACCTACGTACCTCCGGCGCCTGGGCTTATCTGCCATTCGGGGATCAGGGTTTAGGAACGTTTAGGGCTTGAGGGCAATCCGGACCCTCTCCAAAGTAGAACCCCTAACTTGCGAACCTAAATAACTAGTATATTTTATTCTAAAGTAGAGCTCTAAATCCTAAATCTGCCTTTACCCCATCTGCTTTTTGGATCAGCCGCTCGGGTGATACGTGGATTGCTCGGGGAGGGCGCCTCTGGTGCAGAGAAGAGTCAACCACAAAACGATGTCTCTGTCCATCGAGTACTTGTTCGGGTTTAGGGTTTAGGGTTTAGGGTTCACAGGTTCGCAGGCACAACTCTCCAGGCCTGCCTCACAACAAGGAGGTTGGGACTCGCTCACCGTGTACATAAGACGGCGATGGTTGGGCCACTGCTTGCCCAGCAACACAACCCGTATCAAACTTTCAAACTTCTTCAAACGTGAAGCCCGTAAACCCCTGTAAACCCTATAAGCCCTGCAAGACCTATAAACCTGCTCAGCCCTACGTATATACCCTCAACCCTTAAACCCTAAACCCGACCGGCCCAGATCGTGCCCAGCGCACCCACGGAGCCGGAGCTAGAAGAAGAGCGCCAGGACCAGCTGCACCAGGAGGCAGGCAAAAGAGCTCCCTTGTAGGGTTCTAAACGGGTTCTATACTATCAGGCCTATAAGGATTTGGAGAGTAATCTACGCGGCTTCTGAGACGGCATTGTAAGCGTTTTGAGGCCAGCCGAAAGGAGTTTGAAGATCATTCGGGATCATGGTCTT